TAACCTCTAATAGAGGCCATAAGACCCACTATTTGAGCTACTTTTAAGGGAAGCCATAAGACCCGCTATATGGGTCACTTCCAATGAAAGCCGTAAGCCCTGACCCAATTCCAAACTACAGGCAACTCCTAAATGAGTTTGTAAGGCCTAACCTAAATCTAAACTATAAGTAACCCCTAAATGGAGTCATAAGATAACCTAAATCTAAACTGCGGGCAACTCTTAAGCAGAGCCGTATGCCCTAACCCAAACCATATCAACCTATATCTATTCAGTTCAATTTACTCGAATCCCTAAGAGGAGGATACACATGGCTGCTAATTAGATTCTCTGTACGCTACAATCAACGATTGTTATTATTGGTAAACTGAAATCTATGATATACCCGGGATAACGTAACCATGAGATCTTGAATTGGTTTACCTCTATTCCCCACAACCAACACTTAAAAATGGTTACACATCTAAAAAACAATTCATCCTTAATTAAGAGTTCTTCTCCATGTTATGAGGGGTAATTAACTATGAGGACTTGCGCTCATAGGAAGTGGAACCATAGAACTAAAGAAACCATTATTTCGATCATCGGGGAAAATCTGGTTAATTTAAAATCAAATTTACCTCGAAGAAAAATGGCACCTAAAGCTTGCGACAATAGGGTTCGTGCGTTAGCGCCGTCTTTTCATGCGCAAATGGATTTTTGGCGACTCTGCTGTGGATCACTTCTCTCTCCATCTTTCGATGATATATATATATATATATATATATATATATATCTAATCATAAACATCTAAAAGTATGTATAGAAATGTTTATTTATTATAATTGCATATTTTTTGTGCAACAAAAGTCAGGTTGACTCTAATCCCTGCAAGTTTTATGCTTGTTGATGAAAAAATCGTCTGTTCAAAGCATGATAACTATAAAGTTGGGAGAAGGAATGAGAGTTTGATTTCCCCTAGCTGTTATTGATATTGGCCGTGATGGCCCCACACTACAATTTTGAACGGTTTCCGAAGTTTTCAACTTCCTTCTTGATGTCAATGAGACTGTAGTGACTCGGAAGATTACGATTAAGAGAACCGTTACACCACAATCTGACAATAGAAAGACTTTCAAGCGAAGTTCGGTATTCTCCAGGCTGTCCATTGCACCCATTATAGCCAAGAGAAATGCTTCCGAAGTTGAATTTTAATTTAAAGTTAATTGCTCAGGTCATTAATTAATTTAAATTTTAAAAATATTTAAAAACTATTTAATTATTTAGATTAAATTGATTGCTCAATTAATTTAATTAATTTAATTTTAATTTTAATTAAGTATTTAATTTAAAATTAATGAGTTCAATTAATAAGAATTTTTTAATTCTATTTTAATTAATTAAAATTTTGAATTAAATGTTCAATTAGTTTAAAATTTGATCATTATATGAATTTTAATTTTTGTATAAATTTATTTAAATTCTTTAATTTGATTTGAAATTGGTTAATGGATTAATTTTAAATGACAGTTTTAATTTGAAATTAATTTATTTTAAAATTTATATGTTAATGAAGTTCTCAAATTATAAGTTCATTAGCCTCTTGGGGTAATTTCCGCAGCTTCCCGGCATCCCCTTCCATAAAGTGAGGTTAGGAGGTCATTTGCCCTTTCAAGCCTGCCCATCCGGATAGATAATCAACAGCTGAGGGCTTCAGGACGTTATTTGATCCCAACATCAACATCTAATTATTGCGTAAGGCACATATCTGGTAATTTTAGATTTTTCTCATAATTTTGGTAGCCTCCCAGTATCTCCTTCCTGTGATGGATGGTCGAGAGGGCACTTGCCCTTTCATGTCCACCCAGTCGGATAGATAGTCAATGGTTGAGGGCTTCGGGATGTTGTCTGATCTCAAAATTGGCTTCAAGTTCATCCAATTGTGATTGAAGTGCCTCATATTTTTTTTTTATATATATTATATATGTATGCACACATATACATTATAATTATAATCATTTTCATAATAATTATTTGCAGATAACCCTCTTCCCTATTCATTCACACACTCATTGTTTCAAATTGGTGCGTTAAAGGAGGCGAACAAGCAGGTGGACTCGTTCGGATGTATAGATGAAACAAAGGTTGGCTTGAGGGTTCAATTGTGTAGTGTCGTAGGTACAGTCGTAGAATAGGGGTGTCAAAACGGGTCGGCGGGTCGGATTCAGGTCGAACCTATGTTGACTCGAGTCTAAACGGGTCAACCCGAACTCCTCCCATTTTTACAAACTGGTCAGGTATTTTAACCCTAATCCGGACCTGACCCGTGTGGGTCACCGGATTGACTCGACACGACTCGCATAGTTGTTTGATTCAAAAAAATGGGCGATTGCGACGTTAGGCGAGGCGGTAGGCTGTGTCGGTGCATCCCGCGGGTGTGGGATCGTCGTCGAGCACTAACGGGCCGGATGGACTAGACTAGGTGTGGGCATTTAGAGGATAGGACGGTGGATGGTAGTACGCAAGTCGAGAGGACGGAATGACGGACGCAACCAGATGGACTGGACTAGACATGGTACGCGAGAGTTGAAGTACGCTAGTAGATGTGGACGAACAAATGGACTGTGAGATTGGATTGTGGATTAGACATCACTGGATAGACTCATCTCGACACGGATGACAAGACGGACTTGACTAGATGCTCATGCAGAGACACATCAGATGTGCAGACGTGACACTGACTCGACAACCATTTTGCATATGGGTCAAATTGGGTTGGTTTCAGGTTTCTGAGTCAACCTGAACTCGACCTGATTTTGCATACGGGTCAAAAACTCAAACCCGAACCTAACCTGTATGGTAAATGGGTTGTCCCAAACCTGAAAATTTTGGGGTCAGGTCCAGGTCGGGCTTCGGGTTGTGTCAAATTTTGACACTCCTAGCGTAGGAGCAGTTGAGAGAATGCAGGGTAGTGTGGCTGGTCGTTCGGCTGGTCCGTGGATCGCGCCTTGATCACGATTGACAGAAAGTGGGAGGTGTAGAGTCGAGCTTTGATTGGAGGAAGCTGGACTCAGGAGGGTTCGCTCGGCTCTGGACGAACAAACAAATGAAACATCTAGAGACAGAGGCCCGATTGGGCTAATACCGTGAACTGGGGGCCGGACAGCATGGGTGGAGCGCAGGTGAGGTGTGGGAGGTGCTGTTCGGAGTTGAGTTTCGCTCCTTGGAGAAGGATTGAATTACTTGTGATTCACGTGAGTGCCGTGATCGGACGCGAGGTCACAATTTGTGTTTCATTTGTGCATAGGGCGGACGGTGCGGCTTTTTGAGTCATGAAATGAAGCAGGTAATGAGGGTTTTGAAACAGGATAGCAAGAGAGAGAGCCCGCGAGTTCAATCTTCGGATTACCGGGAAGCATAATCTTTTCAAATTCTTTCCTCTTTTCTTTTATATGAATTGAATGGGTGGTTACTGGTTATCTCTAGCGATTGTGGAGATGTTGTGGGATCATGCCATTTGGTTTGATTTTATTGCAGCCTCCCTAAAATATTTTTTTTTTAAATATGATTTCCACTAATGGGAGTATGGAAATTAATCAATTAAAGGCTCCTATAATGGTCCATTATTTGCGAACACTGTAGTATGCTTGAATCAGCCAAGTCTTTCCCTCCATTTAGACATGATTTAGCACTAGCAATTGTAGCAATAAATTTTAATTTTGACTGGCTTTAAATACAATGTTTCGCAAGCAACTATCAAGTTGTAGGAGCAAGTATGATAGTAGCATGCGGTTCTCACTATATCTGAGTTCAATAGAATATGATCATAAAAAAAAAATAAAAAAATTCTGGATGCAGCTACTTCACAAGTTTTCTATATTTCTTTTTTATGGTTGCATTTGCCGTCAAGGTCAACATCTCCATTGGTTTGTGGGTGATTAGTTGTTGAAAATTTCAGTTGAGTTTCCTATTTTCTTCTATAGAGTTTTGAAATAATTCATAAATTTTACTTCCTTGCTAGTAACTATAGTTTTAGATAATATGTGCAAGTTAAATTCATCATTGAAATATTACTTAGCTAAGTGTGGTGCACATATTTATTTTATTGTAGTGAATAAAATGTGTTATTTTAAAAAGATGATCTACTTTTATTAAGATAGAATTATGGCTGCTAAAAGTTTATGGTGATCCTGGGACAAAATCCATATTAACACATCCTCAAGGCTTACACGGAATATGGAAGTACATAATCCAATGTTATTTCTTTTACATCCTCAAGGCTTACACGGAATATGGAAGTACATAATCCAATGTTATTTCTTTTACCCTCTGCTGATGTTAAGTTTTTATGACCTTATACATGATACATCTTGTTTTAATCTAATTGAAGTATCTATCTTCTGTAATAATTATAATTTTATCCTCATCAAAGTTAGTCATAGTTCCAATGGCATGTAAGTCTAGAATAAGAAAATATCCTAAAGACTAATCAATAATATACAGACAAGTTTCATTAATCGAAAATTAGTTGTTAGGCATCACTGACTTACTAATTAATGCATCATATCTCGAAATGCTGCGTAATCTCTTTTGATGCAATCAAAGCAAGTTTGTTTTATTCTCATGGTATATAATGTAATAGCTACATTACTTAACACATTAATAACCTTATTTCTTACTCAAAGTTTAAGAATTAAGTATGTTCTATAAACATTCATCCTGTTCAGTACGTCTATTACTCAGCTTTATTTTTTTTTTTCGGGAATTTTGGTTGCCTTTTTCCATGTACCTTGTCCATGAAAACTTCATATTCTTAAGCATTGATTAAGAGTACCCTTGATGTGATTACCATAATGACCTTTTGCGGCCACGTTTGAGTATTTGCTATTTCCCATCTGAGCTACTTTTCCTTTTCTACTGTCTCAAGATTGTTCCGAGTCATTCTCTATCTACAAAAAAAAAAAAAAAAAATGATGCAGCGCACGTTTTCTCACAACATACATTTTGAATGCCTTAAAAAGACAGTTGGAAGCATCGAAAGTACCAAAAGGTGTGTATCATCTAACCTTGAAGAAGGCTTACATCATCACTCTGGTGTCCAAAATTCTGATAACGGATCTTTAATGGATATCAATACCGATTCTGAGCCTGAGACATGGAGGTCATGGAGTATTCAAAGGTCAGGAGATCCTTTATCCAACTTCGAAGGTAGTTTACTTCTGCAACAGCTATCCTTTATCTCTTGCTTTGTATGCTTTTAGTGATGCTATCTTTTATGCGCAGCTGCTGAAATTGTTGTCGAGGAAGACCAAAGAAAATCAGACATCAATTTTGTTAGTCGTTATTTATCAGGAAACGAGAAGGAAAATGTATTAACTGATCGATTGGCGTCTGGACCTATAAGTAGTGGAAACAATTGCCCTTATGATAATGACCAGGGAAGTCTCAAAAGTGAAATTATTGTATGTCTGCAGCACTTGGAATTACAGTTAACTTCTGCACTTCAATTATGTAAATTCAGGAGTTATGGCATTCATTCATGCATGGTACGTTGTTTTATCCTTTTAACTATGTGCTTTTAGGTTCTTGTAATCGATATTGCATTGAGCTAAGCATTCATCTGTCATTGCTTTTTTTGTCATGTTTTTATCTTTGTTAAAATAAATATACATTAGAATCGAATGAACCACTAAAAATGTGGCACTTTTTGGACTACTTAGGCTCTGCTGTTGTTCTGTTAGTGCAAATAGTTTGTGCATAAAGGATTTTCCATTGTTTTATTTCTTTCCTAATATGGTTATACTATGTCCACATCTTTATTTTTTATTTCCGAGTTGTTTTATATTCATATTGGCTCTATGTTACATTCTACTTTCTTTATGTAATGATTACTGTAGGGAAGCAATTATTTCTTTTCGGTTTGATTTGCTTTGTTAAAATAATCCTAAATTCATGGCTACACCTTTCTATTTATGACAATCCAGCAATCTGTAGACAACAACTTTCCTCCTACAATTATCTAACTATTCGTTGACAACAATTTTTCATTTAAAATAATTTAACAATCTGTGGATAACAAGCTTTCCATCTATAATAATATCATAATTCATGGACAACCTTTTTCATCGGGATATCTCATGATAAAGAAAAATAATCTCTATTGTTCCTTTAATATGAAAAATAAAGTAAAATGTTATTCTAAGATTAGATGAGGGCATTTAAAGAACATTAACAAAATTTTTTTTGTAAGATTCGAGATCTTACTGTGCATGAGGTAGCTAATATTATGTGAGAAAAAAGTAGTTAGTAATATTAAAAATTGTAAAGGATGTGCTTGGAGCATCAAAAGGAAAAGCTTCTAATAATAAAAATAGTTGGTGGTGGAATCAAAATGTCTCAGAAAAGATAAAAAATAAAAAGCTTTCTTATAAAAATTTGTTTAGATGTAAAAACTTTGAAAATTGGGAAAAATATTAGGAGGCTCATAAGGAATCTAAGAAAGTAATTTGCGTTGCAATGTTTTTTGTTTTTAATGATTTTTATAATTGATTAGATACTAAAGAGGGCAAAATATATATATATATATATATATATATATATATATATATATATATATATATAAAGTTAACCAAAGAGATAGGAGTAGTAAGGATTTAGTTCAAGTGAAGTGCATTAAAAATGAAAATCAAAAAGTGTTTTTTTTTTTAAGAGGATATTCAAGAAAGGTGGATAAGATATTTTGCTAAGCTTTTTAATGAAGATTGTGAAAAAATACGATTAACTTTAGTGACCTTAGCACTCTAAATGAAAACAGAGATTTTCCTTTTTATCCGCTTATTAGTAAAACTGAAATTAAAGAGGCTTTAAAGAAAATGAAATGTGAAAAAACTATTGGACCTTATGATATTCCAATAAAGGCGTGGAAATGCTTAGAAGATGAAGAAATTTCTTGGCTTACTAAACTTTTTAGTATTACTTTGAAGGCTAAAAGATGTCAAATGAGTGAAGAATGAGTCTGCTGATTCCTATTTTTAAGAATAAAAGTGATGCGCAAGATTGTGAGAATTGTAGAAGATATTCAACATAGATGGATGATATATTTTGATAAGCTTTTCAATGAAGATTGAGATAATACGATTCTAAATGAAAATAATTTTTTTTTGCTTTTATTGCCATATCAAAGTTAGAGAGGCATTCAAGAAAATGAATTGTGAAAAAGTTTTTTGACCTGATGATATTTAATAGAGGTATATAAAAGCTTAGAAGATGAATAAATTTCTTGGCTCACGTAACTTTTTTATTTCTATTTTGAAGACTAAAAAAATGCCAGATGAGTGGAGGAGTCTTATGATTCCTATTTTTAAGAATAAAGGTGATCCACAAGAGTGTGCGAATTATAAAAGAATTAAATTATGTGTCATACTTTAAAACTATGGGAGAGAGTTATTTAGCATAGGTTACAACGTGATACTAATGTTTCTCAAAATCAATTTGGATTCTTGTCGGGTAGGTCTACAGTGGAAGCTATACATTTATTGAGAGGTTTGATGGAGAAGTATAGAGAGAACAAGGTGGATTTATATATGATATTTATTGATTTAGAGAAAGCATATGATAAAAGTTCCAAGAGAAGTGCTATGGAGAGTTCTAGAAAAGAAAGGGTTAATATTGTTTATATTCAAGTCATTAAGGATATGTATGCAAGAGCTATTACTTGTATTCAAACACAAGGTGGTTTAACCAAGTATTTAACATAGAAAATCTCTATTTACCATTCCTGTTAGGGTTGGCTATTTATATTTGCCGACAGGAGATGGTTTTGAGTCATAGTTCTTGATGTTAGTAGACCTTGTCATTAAGGCCAAACCCTCCATGGCATGGTTGGAAATTATGAATCCCCTTCCCCTTCTTGGTAATGGTAAATCCTATTTATCGGTAATTTGTACCCTATTTATCGGTACATTTAATCTAGTAAAAAATCATAAATTCAATCTTTTAGCTAACATTTTAAAAGAGTTATATCTTTGCTCATGCCATTTGAGTGCAGTAATAATGATTCATCTCTTATCACAAGCCTTATGATAGATTGGAATATTTTTTTGATGGATCGTCCTACTTTGTGGATGAGATTTTGTTCTTCATTTCATAAATTTGTACAGATCATAGATTTTATAATACATTTGATTTAGTGTATCCATATTTTTTGTTGAATGAAGGAATATGCTTATGTCACATATCTTAGGAACTATTGAGTTCTTCAATCAGGATATCACCATAAAGCCATGTTCATCCCAAAAATTAAACGTGGGATAGCCTTTTGCTCAGATCAGATGCTATGTAAATGACTCACATTTTATTATCTCTTTAAGGATGTGTGAACCAATTGTGAGCACTGGAGATTGTTCTTTCCATTCAATTGATATATTAAATGGATATTTTGCAATCCTCCTGTTGAACTTGAATAGTCATCTTCATTTCCAAAGGAACCCATGATGAAGGGACATGGAGAGGGAAACTTGTGGTAGTAATTAGTTTGCAACAAAAAGGGCATAAAAAGACTATAGTGATAAAAGCTACAAACTATATGAAGAATAGAAGGAAAGGAAGAGAATGCAGTGATAAAGGCTACAAGATTATGACAATACGAAATGAAGGCGACAACTTTGGGAAAACCAGGAAAGGAAAAAAACGTTAAGCTTTGATACCATGCTAAGAATTAGAGGATTGATTGCATCTCATTCCAACATGTACATAATTTATATAATCCTAGGAGAATTTCTAATAGGAAGCATATGAAATAAGAGAATAAAAATAAGTTCAATCATTCTCCGAATTAGCAAGGATCCCACGGATCCATGGTGCGGCGGTGAGGGGATGGAATTAGGCAGGAGCCGTTGGTGGTCTTACTGGCTCAGAGGCAGAAATCAAGGAGTGCAGTTGGTGCTTTGGCTTTGAGGTAGAAGCATGGGCATGGATCTTGGCAGGTTGAGGAGGAAATTCATGGAGCATTTTTCAAATTCTAACCTTAATTGGCACAGGTCATTCCTAATGAAATAATAATGATGTAATTAAAATCTTAATTAATCTCAAATTAACCTAAATAATTTGATAATTATAAAATGCTACTGGAAACTGAATGGCAATTATTCCTGATTGCCTCAGGTTTCGGTGGATCCAAACTGGAACGTGAGGTGGCAGTTTTTCAATCTCCTGCGCCTTTATGCTGTATGCTGACTTATGATGAAAAGGATGCATCCAATTCAAGCATCTCTTATATTCACCAATTGTGGATGGAAAGAAGTTTTAATTGCTTGCAACATGGTGGATATCTCCATTTTGTATTCCTGATCGTTGTAATTTCCTTATTTTGTTTATTTTGCTAGCATTTTAATTCATTTCTTGTGCATAAATTTTGATGATTCCAAATTATTTCTCTCCTAAAATTTAGAAGCCTTATTGTATTTTTCTTTCCATAAGATTATTGTAATATGGTTGTATTTAAATCCTATGCCATTTGGCTGTGTTAAGGAAGAGAAATAAAATAATACTTTCTTCCTTTTCTTTCTTCTATTTTTTCCAATGTCTAACATGATATTAAAGCCCATTCACCATTGAAGGAAGATGGTCCACTGACACAAGATGGCCTTGAATGGGTCAAGCAAAGATTGGGAGGAGGTTCAAATCATCCTTCTAATTGCCAAGCCTTAACACCAATTCATTAACCTTTATGGAGCACTCACATCTTCAAATTACTTCTTACAAACTAAATGTTATGAATTGTTTTCAAAGGTTTCATTTTGTTCAAATAGTCATTTTGAAGAAGTGAAAAAAATTGAATACTTCAATGGTATAACTAGACAATCTGGACTAAATGATTCTTTTGTTTCTCCACTTGGAATATCAATAATGCATTGGTAATGTCATCTTTTTATTTTAATTGAAGAATACATTGGATATATTTGTTTAACTTAGAACGCTTTAAATACTGTTCTAGAGAAGGTAAATATAACATATTCTGACAGTGAAACATTGAAAATTAAAAAATTATGTGAATTATGGGATAAAGCCCATGATCTCAAACTTGGGAGCATGATCCCATTGTATAATTTATAACTCTCACTAACATTTGGTATGAATTGGGCCTATTTGAACCAAATGACTAATGTGGGGAGTGTGCTGAGAAATTCATTTAACTAGTGGATTAAATTAGAGGTTTTGATTTTCTTGCTGGTCTTAACAAACATCTTGATGAAGTTTATGAAAGGATGGTTGGGTTCAAACCAGTACCCTAAATATAATGTGTTCGGCGAAGCTTAAAGAGGGGAATATATATATAAATATATATATATTTGGAAACACCAAGTGCTCTCTCCAAATTGAGATATTGGCTCTTGTTGCTAGGTGTATATGGAAAATTTAGTGAACTAGCCATCCTCATGATTCAAGATGTGCAAAAAGAGGCAATTATTGATGTGATATATATAAGAAACCCAATTATATAAGGGAGACTTGCTATGATTAGACAGGACCAACTTTTAATCCTTCA